AGCTGTGTGGAATAATCTTTGCTGAATTTATGGAAATTAGATCAAGCCAGAATATACTCTATGCAATCAATTTGAAGATTAACTGGTTTATAAATCATCTTGTCATATTAATTCCCTATCTAAGCATTTCACAGTTGTCAAAAGGAAAAGATAAGTTTCCAGTACTCAAATGAGTATCAAATAGTTTTATGCATATTCAATAAATGAACCAGCTATTCCAGAGGCTAGTTCAGCACGCCATAAAAGTTTCTTGTGTGTTGAATTTGCAGTACTTGATTGTAGACCATTCTAACGAATTATCTATAGTAATTATTGTCATGCATCAGTCTTCTATGTATTTACGAAGAGATAAAGATAATGAAGCAAATACACACAATTGTAGTGGATGAAATTTTGAGGATTACTTACAAATACTTGATGTGTACGCGATATAAGTGAGCTAAGAGTGAAACAAAGTGGATTGGGTATGATTTTAGGTTAAATGAAGAACCACATCCACAGTAGAAAAGTTTTTTTTATAATTCAAGAGCGCTCCTTGCTAGATTCATGTGAATAATACCGAATATGTTGTATAACTGTGATTTATTCGACTAAAATGGATCAGTATTTACTATGTAGAATAGCAACTTCTTGATAATAATCTCTGGTTCAAAGAGGTATAATTGATAACAAACTTTGCTTTTTTTAAAGACTTCCATTGATTTAGATGAAAGATAGAACTCATTTTAGACTACAAAAAAAAACAACATAATGATTTTTTCAATCAACATTCTCTGCATAAACAAAATATTTTCAAAGTATACTATAATAAATCTTTGATTTATTTTCTTGTTTGTGACACTTCATCTCAAAATCCTGAATAAACAAAATAAAAAATAGATTTCCTATCAAAAATTACATCCATCATTTTCATCTAAATAAATTTCATATACTTCTCGATTACATTTTCCATTTGAACTCAAAATATATTTATGGAATGTTCCATTAACACTTGCTGCAACAACATGATTCAGGTCTGAAAATGCACATATACATGGCTGTTCACTATTGACGTTAAAGTTACATGAATCACTACAAATTTCATTTAATATATGTTGAAATGTAGCTTTGCGATTCAATTTTGAATCACGTATACTATATACATGTACAGTACCCTTATCACTTGATACACATAGAAACCCTGAATTAAAACTAAATGCAAGACTATAGATAGCAGCTGTATCTAAACCACGTTGAAATTCAAAAATTTTTTCACATAATCCTGTTGTTAAAAATATACGTATAAGGGTACCCTATTAAAAATAGAAGATATAAGAAAATCTTTTTATTATTTTAGTAAACCTACCCGTTTAGAAGCAGTAGCTAACAGATTACCAGTAGAAGTGAGTGCAATGGCTGCCAATTCATTTTTATGAGCTTGAATTATACGTGGATTAAGAGATGTTTCATTGTCGAATTCATCCATATTCTAATTAAATAAAATTTAATGTTGAAATTAGTATTTTGACAATCTTAAAATTATAAAAATGTTAATAAAATAAAAACTTATATTGCGAAATCGTACAAAAAAGCAAATGAACTTTAAGCGAACTATGTTATAGATCATACCAACATATTATTTCAATATGCTGTGATGCAAAACTAATTTTGTGCTGATGGTCAAACTTCGAATAATTGTTTTTCAAATATAGTTCATTATAGAGAACTGCACTTTGTTGTTGTTTATTCGGGCATTTTATGTTCCTTTCAAGGAGAGGAAAGCATTCTTTAAACATGTTGTAGTTCTGTAACAAAAACCTCTGGATGGTTTTTCAGATTTTAGAGGTTTCAACGCTCTCAAAAATCAAACAGAGCAACAATGACAAATTCCTTCTCCTCATCTGAAGAGGCAAACAGTTGTCTTTCAAATAAAACAATCTCCACTTTTACACCATGAAGTATAGTAAAAAATATTTGTTCAGATTGAGGATCCATTTTGGGCCTTGGTGTCTATAAGAATATTGAACACTGAAGTTTACAGAGTCTATATATCTGAATATGAAAGTTAAAAACAAAAAAGGCCGATTCCACCACTGAAGAATATTTTCAACTAACTATAATGAAAACTTCAGTCCGATCGGACAAAGCTAGATGGAGACCATAAGTGTGTCCAATGTGTTTTTTTTTCATCTACAATGTGAGTTTAAGCTGCCAATATATAAAACATCTATTTGCATAATATCCGGTGACATGATCGAAAAACAAGTTTAGAGTTATTCACACACTTATAAAGAATCATATGAATAACATTGATTTGAATAAAAAAAAACGAATTTTATAATAGTCAAATGTCTTTTATAACAACTCCTTTTTTTTTAATGGACACAAGAAAGATATGTATTCAATCAAAGCTACTCTGAACATTTATTCATCATCTTCTAATCATTCAATATATGCCGTATGCATACTTGAATTTTCCCATAACTTTGAAAATGTTTTTTTTTAACCACTAAATAGTCTATTCCAAGTGGAAAATTACAGGTTCTCTTTCATCTCTCTTAAGAACATACTTAATCATTCATCATAGTGAAAAAAACGAAGAAGACTACTTTTTTTTCCTTCTTCGACCAATACGTTTTTTTAACCAATCATCTTTTTTTTTCAGTGTGTTTTTTCTTATCATCGAACGAGAGAAAGTATAACAATACATTTGATCATATTACTCGAGTACGTGAAAGGCGAGAATTTGTGTCTATATATTATCATCATCTCCGTTCTCTCTAAATATGATGAAAGCGAGTACAACAAGCTCTCCTTATCATCATTCAACATACGATTATCATCATCATAATTTTTCTGCAACATCATCCAATGTTTATTCATCTTATTATCCGAATCATTATATACCACAATCAAATATTTCAACAAAAATTGAAAATGATGATTCATCAAATTCAACACTAACACCATCACCTACTATCAATCATTCTCTTATACAAAATCCAATTATTCTTAAATTACCAACAAATAATAATAATAATAATAATATTGAACAAACAATAACTTTAACAATCGATCATTTAGCTTGTGTATGTGAAGCTATTCAACAAAGTGGTAAAATTGATAAATTAATTAAACTTTTACAATTATTACCATTAAAATCTTCTTCACCTGATGCTGCATTAATACATCAACATGACAGTATATTGAAAGCACGTGCAAATATTTATTATCATCAATCAAAATTTCGTGAATTATATTATTTATTAGAAACACATACATTTGATAGTCATCATCATTCTGAATTACAACAGTTATGGTATAAAGCACATTATATGGAAGCACAAAAAATTCGTGGTCGTCCATTAGGTGCTGTTGATAAATATCGTATAAGACGCAAATATCCATTACCAAAATCTATATGGGATGGTGAAGAAACAATTTATTGTTTTAAAGAAAAATCACGACAAGCATTAAAAGAATGTTATAAACAAAATCGTTATCCAACACCAAATGAAAAACGTTTATTAGCAAAAAAAACTGGTTTAACATTAACACAAGTTAGTAATTGGTTTAAAAATCGACGACAAAGAGATCGTACACCACGAACGTAAGTTATGCCCTTTTCAAATAAGAGAAGCAAAAAAGAAAAACGAAAAAAAATAAAAATTGCCACTTATCCCGAACATTATCCGTCTTATATATCTAATAGTCATGGCACATTTACAACCTAACCACTTTTCACCTAATGAAACATTGAAAATGTCAATTGTTTTCTTTTTAATTATTAGTCAAGATCTTCAAACATCATTACTGAATCAAGCTGCATATTTTGCTGCTGGTTCTGTATATTCTCATGGTTTATTTGCAACGACATCATCATCAACAAATAATTCACTACCATCGAATAATTCAACATTTATTCATCATTAATTAACAAAAAAAAAGCAAACAAATAAAAAAAAATACTTTTTCTCTTTTTCGTTCTTTCTAGTCTGTTAATAAAAAGAAAGAAATCATTGGTCAATGGAAGTTGTTTTTTAATTTGTTTGATAAACCATGGATTTGATTAATTTTCATCAGTGAAAAATGAGTATTAACGTATGCATCAAATTAGTATATGGTACAATGACAACAAGAAAAAAAAGCAATTTTTTTAACTCTATAAAAGCAATGATGCGCTAATGATCATCTAGGATGTTTCCTATAACATATAATCATTTGCCAATTATGTTATTTCATCCGTTGCGCATCTGGTTACCTTCTTTCTTTCCCAGCTACCTGCTGTATTTTGTCATTAGAATAAAAACAGAAAGATGACACGCATATTATAAATAAAACCATGTCATATAATTGATAATCATAATGTGCAAAAAAAAAAATTGAATTCGTCGTCTTTTTTCACTAATCACAAAAGTATACAGAATCAAGCAAGTTATTTGATGCGGTCATTATCGTATAGAAAGAAAAATCTGTCTCTCTCTGTCGTTATTCTTTTTTCTTTTTTTTTTTAAAATGTATATTAGCATTAAAAAGTATGTGTGCGCTATATGACACTTATGCACACATACATTAAAAGTCATTCTGCACACGCGTATCATACAAAAAGTATACTCATGTCAATCAATCAATCAACTTCAAATAAGATGTGTGTTTTTTGTTTGAGACAAAAAAAAGTAGAGACAAGATTTTTATTAATTATCTAATCTAAGATCAGTTGATTTTTCCAATTTAATATAAAAGAAAATTTCCATTCAAGACAATAATTTCTGAACTATAATAATATTCTAAATAAGAATTTGAAATCTGATAGAAATATCCTGACTTGCTTCAGAACATATGTCTGAAATGAGAAAAAGAATAGCATTAATCTAACACTCTATTTCTTCATTCCGCTTATAAATCATTGAATTAGATATGCTCATTGCACAAAGGTTGATGCGCACAACAACTAATATCAAACAACTAAATAACCTTCAATTGGTTAAATGATAATGAAAAAAAATGGATTTCAAAATCATTCATAATAAGTTTTTTTCTATGCTTACTAATATTTGAATAAGACCGCCTGTAGGTTTTGCATTAGAAGGAAAAACAATAAATGATTCATTATTATTCGATAATTCACAAAGACCTAAGACAATAAACATAGATATGCTTTAACTAATAAAAATTAATTATTATAAACAAAACCTCTTGGATTTTCTCTTGTATGAATTGTATGTAAAAGACGACATTTCGAAGGAAAAGAAAAAATATGAATTTTGTTCAAAAGTATCACCACTAGTCTATATAACAAAAACAAAACAAACCATAAATTAAAAAAGAAGAAATATATTAGCGTCCAATCTTGAATCGACTAACATATTACATAACAGTAAAAATTAACCACGGTATATGATATTATGTTTTCTACAAAATATCATATTTAATCATCAGAAAATTACACAAAAAAAAATTAATGAAGAACATGTGTAGGTGTGGAATTACTTGTGATTTTCACTTCATTACCACATCCACAATCGAGATATGAATTAACGCTTTTTTACTTTGTCGAATTTCGTTTCAGTATAAATGATGACTCAATTTCATCGACATTTTTCTATGGTAGTTTCTACTCAACACATTTTGTGAACTAAATCAACACCTCGACAGAAAATACTATATACTTTGTCGCTGATATGACTTGCATGAATGACTGTCCAATGTCAAATTTCAGATTGGACGCTAACATATATATTTCAAACCTTGCTCGAGATATTCGTATAGAAGTAACCGATGATTGAAAGCTAAGTTCAAGTACATGGGCTTTACGTTGGTCATCATAGATATTGACTGAAATGTTTTAATTTAAATGATAATGAAAAATATTTTTTTCTCTCACCAACATGCGATGGTAATCCAGTAGCATGATCTGCTCGTACATAAGCAATTAAATTCGTACGATAAAGCATTTCGGCATACGTAGTAGGACCAATGTCTAAATATAAATTACAAACAGTAATTAAGAGAAACTATTTGTAACGTTTATTACCAAGATAACATTTTTGAGCAAGTGGTTCAACATTAAAAACATGGATACCATCATATGTAGCACAAATAAAACAGCCTAATAAATTATTTATTTAGCTACGATTTGTAAATTTTGTTATTTAATCGTTGCTAAGTTATAAAAAGTTTTCTTCGATTCACAACATATCATAAAGATAGTCAATAAGGATCGAGTTTTCTTTTTAAAAAACCTATAGAAAAGACTTCTGGATTTAGATTTGGTTGAGTTTATTCTAGTCTAGAAGTTCTATCTCTATACTCAAAATGTGATCTCAACAGTGATTAATTTCTTTGAATGATTCCTTCACTAGTTGTTCTTTTTCATCTGTATGTATCTCTTGAATCATTGATTATTTCTTATAGATTTTGTTTATGTTCAAATTAAACTCTTTAGAAAATTAAACAAGATTATTTAGTAAAGACTGTACCTGCCTATTAAAGTGAAGTAACTAGATATAGGCAAACTTGATCAGATAGCACAAAATATCAAAACAACTGTCACTATTCATATATAATTAAGTTTCCATAATCGATGACACTAAAGTTAATCTGATATAGTAGTTAAGTTTTCAATGGCAAAGTTTTACTAACGAAAGAAGTTCTTCAACTGATAAGTTACTTTCAAGTTGAGACTATATGTATTATATAGATCTATATGAATAAATGCCGTGATCTCTCTCCAGCGTACTAAAATAGCTAAGGTTTGAATTTCGACTGGAAACATATCTTCACAAAAATAGTTTAGCATATCGTTTACATTGTTCATATAAATCGGCAGATTTTATGTTCCGATTTCAGGAAGAAGCAAATCAAAAGACGAAGATTGCACAATAAACTACTCTAGTTAAGGTCTGTTTTAAGTCGAAAGTCGAAAAACAGTTTTCAGGTATTCATAGTTCATTTAGATGTATGTAATGTACATAGTTACCACTCAGAAGCGATTAATCAATTACAGGACTTTTCGCATAGATCTAGAAACACGACTAGTACCTTTTTCATTGGCATGAAAAAAGACAAGTCAAGCTCATATCTAAAGATAATTTTATTGTTTTTCTTAACTTCAATCTACTCATATTATGAAAACTTCCTATATCACATACTTGAATCTTGATTGAAACGTAAACTTAATACGTGGGTTATTTTATTTGTATATCTATTAGATGCCATAAGGTATCTGAAAAACAAAAATAAAATCAGTTATTATTCATCCTCATTGATAATCATACTATAATATAAAAATCAACAAGTTTAACAATTTAAAAAGACATATCAGATATAAAATAGATGGACAAGTATTCAAAAAAAAGAAGATTATTAAGTGTAAGGGGTTGTCTTGACAAAAAGAAAATTCATGAATCAACAAATGTAAATGTGTAATCACATGCATCTTTTTTTGACCAATCTATATCAGCTAATACAATATCAACGGTACCTAGAACATGATTACCCAAATTTAAAACATTATTCCAAATACCAACTTGTAAAACACGTCTAAATACAAAAACAAAATAGAAGCATATTTCTATTTTATTATATTTTATTCATGTATGTATACTTTTGAATTTCGGCTAAATCCATTTCATATGTAAACTAAAAATGATGAAAAAAAAAAAGAAACATGAAATTTATTTATATTCTATAAATTAATTCCTACTGTATCATTAAATATGGGATTGCGTGAATTAGCAAGTTTTCCTTTTCGTTTTGTTAATTTAGATTCATCAGGTAATAAATAACATTTACAATATGGTTTTGGTTCATTACCATTTATTAATGGCTAAATAAAAAATAAAGATAATTCATTAATAGGATTATTCGAAATTTATTTACTAAATTATTAGCATGTCGAACCATAACAAAAAGCTTTCCATTATCATAGTTTAATTGTATACGAAGTTTCGATTGATTATTTGTTGATGAATTTTGTGAAGAACGAAGAGAAAGTTCTTGATAAAAACAAAAAGAAAAGATGATTGAAATAGAAATAGTTTTTTATTGTTAAGATATTAGTCACCTTCGTTAGATTTCTCTTTTGTATCATTGATTTGTTGATCTCGTTGAATTGTATGAAAAAACGTACAAACAAGATCAGACTATAAAAACCAAAAAAATTATTTTTAGAGAAATAACCTACTCAAAATTTTCATCTTGCTAGAATAAAGATATATATTTTTTGATTTTGAGTTATTCAAAAATTGTAGACAATATAGCTCGTAATTACATAAACCAGGTATTTTTGATTATTTCTCCAGCAATGTCGAGTGTTCTATATTGAACTATATAGGAGAGTTCCTTAAAACCTGAAAACAACTGTGTTGAATTTTTTAGAAAACTTTTCCACATAATCTAAATAGGAAATCATATTTGTCATAAATGTCATGGAGAACTGCATCAAATATCGAAATCACTATTTTGATTTTAGTTAAGTTTGTAACATCATAGAAAAAAAAAACAAAAAAATATCATGTTCTGGTAATTTTGAATAGTACTAAAAATCTACAGAATAATTTTATACCGTCAGTAAAATTTCGTTTTGAGATATACGAAAACTTTTACTAACGATTTTAAAAAAGTTATCAAGTGATTATTTTTATCAAAGTTTAGTGAAGTCTCAGACAATGGTCAGAGGCTATGACAGACATTGTTAATATACGATCAAGGATCGCATGTCAATAAACTCTCATTATAAAATATGAACTACTTCTTGATTACATTGATAGAGGATTAAGCAAAAGCATGGCGAAGAAATGTATTCCGAAAATAGATAGAATAAAGCTATTCGACAATAGATCTATGAAATAATAAGAGCAAAAGGGTAAATAGAACGCACGAATAAATACATCGTATAAAACTATTTTTAAAAATTTATTGTCACCTTTAACATATTCTCAGGGTTATTCACATTAATTTAAAAACTTTCGGAAGCATCCAATTTTCAAGCTCATTTTCTAGTTAAGTCTTTTGTATAAATGTATACATTTTTCAATAAAGTTATTTTCGAAAATCTCAAACTCTTTATTAATTTACCTCAGTGATTTCACTTGTTAAACGAAATAAATTTTCAAGAAAATCATTAATATCTCTGATACGTCTTTGAGCAATAAGATTATCTTCTGTTTGTTCATAAAATTTCAAATCGAGACCAATTAATGGAAATTGTTTATTTAAACGTTCATAGAGTTCATAAAATTCATTATATGTACGATAAATATATGTTGTATTTAAACGTACCACTTTTAATTTATATAAATAATATTTTGATTGTTTTGTTCGTTTTTCATAATCAATAACTTGTGCTGATATTATTTTTCCATCTGTAGCTATTGTATATGTCTTTGGTACAAATGAAAATGTTGTATCATTAGACATTAGATTTAATGAATTATTTGAATTTGTTGGTTGTGCAATTTTATGTATTAAACCATTCAATGTTGTCCATGTAGAATTAAGACTATCAACAATAAGTTCAGTAAAATGTGTTATACTTTCAGCATAATTTAATGATGGTGCTAAACGATCATAAACAAATCGAACAGCATCAGAATTAAGATTAGGTACATTTGATGAACATAAATGTGAAAGAAGAATTAAAAGTAGAGAAGCATTTTGACGTAATATACTAAATGCATTACAACATAAATCAACAAAACGGTGCATTGCATCATTAGATGTACCACCATCAGACATTGCATATAACATTTGTTTTGTAAATATAAATGGTGCACGATCACTAGAAATAAACAGTATAGTTTTGACGTAATTCATTAATTAATAATAATAATAATAAATTAATTTTTTTTGGATTTAAAATATTCTGAATATCTGTATCAATATGATTACAAGAAGGAAGTTTTCTTTCATTTTAAAACTTACCGATTAAACCAACCAAATTTTTGTGTATCACCGAGATATTTTCCAAAATCAATATGAAATAAATGTCCAGATTTTTTCACCATAATATTTTCATTATGTCGATCACCAATACCTAATATATATGTTGCAACACAATAACCAGCACATGAATATGTTAAATTATCTAAAGCTATACGAAAATCTCTTTCATTTCTATTATGTGATCTTAACCAATTGTATAAAGCTGATTCACCAAATGAACCTTTGATTGTTCCTAAAGGTTTTTCTATTTCAAGCAATGTTTCACTTTCTGTAATCATTTCAATAAAACCACAACGTTCTTCTGTTTGTACAACATTAAATAAACTTAAACGAAAATCGATATCATTCGATTTCCATATTTTATCCATACAAGTTAATAATTGTAAAACAATTTGATCTTGCTATGAAGAAAAAAAAAATAACTATGAATAAATCTCATTCAACAAAAAAAAGAAAGAAAGAAAGAACACATACACGTAAATCATCTCCAATTTTATAAATAGAATAATATTTTTCACATGATAAATCAATTGAATTAAAAACAAGTTTAAATGGAGATGTTAATGAATGAAATATAGAACAAGATTTAATGTCAATATTATTTGTTATAAAACTAAATTGACATGGTAAACGACATGAACGTTGACCTGATTGAAAAAATTCAATATTTAATTTTTTTAATTCTTCAATTAAAAAATATCCTTTATTTAATTTATTATTTTTTAATTCTAAACCAATATTTTTTAAATTTATACATAAATCATATTCATTTTCTAATTCAATATAAAAATATTCTTCAATAATATAAAGTAATGACATAAATATATAATAATAACGTATAAAATGAATATTTTCTGTTAAAAGTAATTGTCGTAAATGCCAATACAATTTATATACTAAATGATAATTATTTATACATTGTTTAAGTAAATATTCTACTATTGATGATAAATAATAATAATCAAATTTAATTATTTGTAAAATTTGTGGTAAATAAATATTAAGTTCATGAGGTGTTATATGTGATACTAATGATTGATAAGCACATGAACGTATATGCATATCAGGAAAAACAGGTAACAGAAGTTCAAATGATTCAATTTCATCTATTTTACGATGATGAGTTATTTCATTGACAAGACTATAGATATCGATTAAACTTGGATAATCCCAAACTGAACGAGATTTCAGTAATTTTGGTAATGCATATGGTTTATGAATAACATAATGGCGATGTGACCATAGAAAATGACGTTCAATAGCTAATTCATATTCTAAAATTACCATATACAATATGAATACAAGAAAGCACCTGAATCTTTTTAAGATTTTGCATCAAAATGTCTCAAAACTATTTAATGTTTGATTTCTGTACAATCAACATTAAAAGATCTTAGCTACACAAATACATTTGTTAGTATACTTCTCTCTCTTCCAACTTTTATACAGGATGGTCCAAACGTTACCGGGCAGTCAGTCTTTAATTTTGAATAACTTTTAATAGAAGCAAGATAGAGAGCTACGATGTTCACCGTTCGAAAGATAGAGTGTTACTGCATAGTTCCATATATTAATCAACAACCTTGCCTGATGATCAATTAGTGAATCTTCGAAAAAACAGTGACAGTTCTATGAAGATAGCATGAAAGTTCAAATCTAAGAAGTGCACTAGATTCGCGTCCTTAAGATCCATTCTCATGTCTATACCCAAAAATTTTATCTTGTTGTATTCAAAAGTTATAAATGCGACACTAGGCGATTGGGCTGTGGGCATGGATTATAAGTATGCGAGTCTAGTGTACTTCTTAGATTTGAACTTTCATGCTATCTGCATAGAGCTGTCACTGTTTTTTCGAAGATTCACTAATTGATCATCAGACAATGTTATTGATTAATACATAGAACTATGCAGTAACACTCTATCTTTCGAACGGTGAAAATCGTAACTCTCTATCTTGCTTCTAGTAAAAGTTATTCAAAATTAAAGACTGACTGCCCGGTGACTTTTAGACCACCCTGTATAGTTGCAATGACTTTCCAGCTTTTTTATTGATTTCATTTCTCGAGAAAACTAACGAGAGAACCTATTCAGTCGCCTACACTTCTAATCTCAATAATTTTTTGCCTATAGACACTACATAGTAAATTTGTGGAAAGTCTAAATGAATTTGAGTTCCTAGTCAGACTTGGCGAAGCAATGCAATTCTTAATAATCCGTCTCCTTCAAACAACAGAAGGGCACCAATAAGAAAAAGCTGTTAGTGCTATATCTGCAGGATTAAAAGGAGAAATACGAGGTAACTGCTGCTGCTAAACATAGAGAGAGTTTTTTTTATGTGACCTATCTGAGGATGCATTTCTTCGTCATTCTTTTTACTGTACCACAACACTCCTTTTAGATAGTGTTTTACAAAACTTTGCAAGGCGTAATAGAAGGTCATGACTTTTTATTCTGAAAACAGGTGCATGTCTATTTGTCAGAGACCTACGAAAGACTCAAGACTTTTGGAATAATCGTGTTTTTGTATCTTGTCTTGAAACTTATATATCTTTATAAAGTCGTCAAACTCTGAAATTTTTCATAACAGCTACTTGTATGTAAGAGGCTTTCAAATAAAGGAAGTTTCAAGAAGAAATTCAGAACGACGATATTTACGAAAACCTTGAGTTCTAAAGAGATCTTGGATAAATGGACATATTACAAAGTGCATATTTTCGCTAAGTTTTACTAAGAATTTAAATCTTTTCAGAATTTTTTACTAAAATATTTTGTAGTATCTATAAGCAAAAAATAATTGAAAATTGGACTAGATTATTTGAAGAGATTCACCCATAAGCAAAAGTTTCCATCATTTTTATATTAATCTTATGTTTCATTCAACATACCTTCATCTGACATGTTTGGTGATAATTGCTGCTTTTGATTATCTATGGAAGTCTCATTTTTTATCATTACACTATAATCATTTAACAATAAACTTCGTCGATCAAGTAATTGACATAAATATTCTTGTTTATCTCGAGTAATTTTAGTGAAATTTTTAGCACATGTATCATTTCTAGTTTGAACATCTGGTAAAAAGAATGATTGATGAGGAAATGTTATAGATAATATTGGACAATCACGATCCAAAACATTTCTCAGTGAATAAAAACCTGTTCGATTTGTTGTTGTAGCATCAATTATACCTAAATAATATTCACCACTAATAAGATTATGTTCATAATCAAATAATGCTTGTGAACACCAACCAATAAGACGCATTGAAATTCCATCGCAAACATTAAAAACTAATGAAGATAATGATGAATCAGGGTCATCAATAAAACTAGCATAAATTTCAAATAAAAGTAATGCTTCACGTTGTAAACCACATAGATGTATACCATCAAATATAAGCCGTTGATCAAAATGAATTTGTGAAGAACTTTCTTGACTATTACGTATAAATGACATTAATCTTGTCGTTTGTTTTGCTTTTGTTTCATTTCCATAGCAAAGACGAACAACAACACGAACTGTTTTGATGTTTGATGGTAAAGAAAAAAGACCATCGATGTGAACACTAAAGAATTCTGCTGATTCAGTTATTGAACGTCGATTAGGAATTGTTATTGTTGACTACAAAAATAAGAGACAAAAATGATTAAATCAATAATTTGTTGGATTTTTGAGCATCAAGTATGACATTGAATAAATAATACGAATTCTTGTCCAGTAAATTAAGGAATTGAGGAAGAATATATTGAAACTATTTCATGGAATAGACTGATTGGTCCAACGTTGCCAGCTCAATATCATTTTTTAACAATAATTCGTGATCTAATTCAAAAACTGACTTCATATTTTTATTCCTGCGTCAATTTATTCAATATCTAATTCGTCTTGCCTAAAAAGTGCTTTGAAAGGAGCGTTTTTTGAAATATTTTTAAAGTAGTCAAGCTATACAAATATGGTCATAAACAAGGAGAAAAAGAGTGATTTCAGTACTTCAGAATATTGAGATTGCACTTATGTTTCACTTCGTCATGAACGACCATACCTCGAGAAGTATAGTGGTTTACCTGGCTTACTTACTATCTTAACAGAAAACAAACAGCTGGTAGCCATCATTTATTGTTGATGATTTAGCTGTATTAATAAAAAAAACCACAAGGGTAGCATTTTCAGAAGACGAGAGAAAGGGTGGGTGTGGTTACAGCCCTTCTCCTAACCCATACCAATACTCATATTTCAACGCTAATCATGGACAGAAAAACATCTTCATAAATACTTTTTCGAACGAAAATCTTTCAACAATTCTAGCATTTAACTTCGAAATTTTTCTTTTCGACATTTTGCTTTCGACCAAGCAACTTCAAAAAATCATAATACTAAGGTGAAAAATACTCGAAAATATGGACTATCGCTTAGCAGCAGCTTGAAATAGCAGAAGTTTTGGAGAGAAAGTTCTTCAGACAAAAATATCTTTTGAGAATCTTGTGCCTTCTGCGATTGACTACTGATGAAAATATTCATCAACAATACGATTCGCAAGCATTCTGTTGTTGATAGAAAGTTTAATGAACCATAAATGTGTATCTATTTATTCATTTTTTCATCGTCTTTTGGATCTATTCTCTCTTCCGACAAGGTTGGGATCACTTATTTTCGAATGATTTTTTTGCCATTCGTATATTCCTACTAAATCACATAATCAAGAAAATGTTTATTCATCTTCTTCTTTTTTTACCAGTGATTTAACTTGTTCAATATCAATTGATTCATTTTCATCATTATAAATCTCTACTTCATAAGGAATTAAAAATGCTTGACAATATGCTTGAATATATTTTATAAGTGTAAGAAGTAAATCATAAAGTAATCGTAATAAATTTTCAGGGATTTGTGAATTTGTTACTTGTTCATTTTCATTTTCATTTTGTGATTGTTTTATTAATTGTACAGTATAAAATTTTAATTCACGTTGTTTATCAATAAATAATGGTGATTGAATATCTGAACATATGTTTTGAATAGTTTTACTATCACTTATTAATTCTTGAATTAGTTTGATTTGTTCATTTATTAATAAATTAAATGAATTTGGATTAGTTAAACGATTAAAACTTTGTTCAATTTGTTTTAGTGTTAAATTAATATTTTGACGAAATTCTTCTAACCATTGAGAATTTGAAGATAGAAATGCACGAGTTTGATCCAGAGATATTTTTTGTTTCATTTTGTTTAATGATTTCGTAGTTTGCAATAGTCTATATATAATAATTAAATGTAAATTCTATGCAAAAAATTGAACAAACATACTTTGTTTGTTTCATTATTTGAAAATATTTTTCTCGTTGATTCAAACAAAATTGTTCAAAACTTATGTTATCTTGTTTTGGTTGAAATATACAAATTGGTTTTTTAACTAATACAAATTGAAGTTGTTTTAATGAATGAATACAGTTATAAACGTATTCAATATCACATAAAGCATCATCATGACGTAAATATTCTTCACATGAACGTAATTTAAGTATTGATTGATCATAATCAAATGGAGATATTTCATGTAGTTGATGTAAAATATGTGCAACTGTAGATTGTAAACTTATATTTGTTAAACGTATTGGTTCTTTTGAACTATCAGTAAATATATATAATATAACAGGTAATTGATTTTGTTCGATGTGTTGGGAAGTTAAACGTTGAACACGTTTACAATAAAATATTCCATCTGTTGATGTCTAAAATTTTAAAATAAAGTTTATATTGTGTATAACAATTGCATCATGGAAGATATTTTAGAGACGACTTATATTAGTTCAAAAGTTGAAAGGAATCGTGATTATTTCTATGGCTTATGGAGAAAGTCTCCAAGATACGAAGATTAGTTATTTTTGAGTCGAGACTAAGTAAATTGTGTCGTTGTTAATGGACTATGAATAACTTTAGAAAAGTTCGGACCTTTAGCTTCTTGCTGCGTTGATGTTACAGTTTTACGGTATCTTATCTAGTCAATCCCGTGGTCGCTGTCAACAACAACAGAAGGAAAACTCTGTTTTGAATTTCAACTTAAAACTTTGTATAAAAACAGAACTTGAGGAGATAGTTTTATTTTGAAAGTTTAATGTATTTTCCTTTTTCCCCTCTCAGGATGCAGCTATCATTAAAGCTTGCCTTTTACACTGCTCATATAGGTAAGCAAATTCGATTTTCTTGTTTCAGGATAGCACCAATTCAGAAGATCTGAAACTTTCACAATAAACTATTTTCGATAAGACATGTCTTTTTGTGCAAAATTTCAAGTCGAAACTCAACAATCAATGTTCCTAGTGCTTCTGAAGAGGATCACAGTATAGACTTAAAAAATACAACGAAATTGCATCATTTCGGCAGTCATAAGTTAAAGACCTAAAATGTTTGAAAGGTATTCATAGCTCATTAGGTTCCACATGATGTACATAGTCTAGACTTGAAAGAGGGTAATCAGTTGAAGTATACATCTCTCGTTACCTTTACGTTGTTCTAGAACTGCTGAGACATTTTTAATAAAACATATAACTGTTGAAATCGTCTTTCATCATACTGATAAAGTTCTGAAAGTTATCTACTAACGATTCGTTTAATATTTTCTCGATCGATGAACGTGCATGGATTGTTCCTTAACTTGCACCTACACTCTCATTTTATACTCTATATATCTAACTTCTTTACTGCTATTTATAAATGTCACCCATGGATGTGTTTTTCAGAAGCAGTTGAATTCTTGCTAAGTGAAAAACTTGATGGTTGGTATATTGATAGAAATGATTGGATCTGATAGAGTTTACAATCGTTGAATTAAACATCTTAGAAGAACGTAAAAGAACGAACGATCTAAGTACGAAAATTTTGAGAGATTTGATTTTTTTTTTTTACCTGTTGGGATTGACGTTCATTTCGAATTTGTTGAACAAATTGACTGATTGGTTTCAATTCCGAACATGCTGCTAATTTTAAACGTAATTTAATCGGATATGGCAACGAAGAAGAAACAGTTGATGCTACCGGTGATACTGGTGTATTGGTGTTCTGTATAACAACATCAGGTGTATTTGGAATGACGTTGTCTAATTTAGATGGTAGTACTGGTGATTGATTAGGTTGTTTGAATGGATCGAATGGATCAAGAGTAGATAATTCAATCTCAACACTGAAATCAATTAAATTTTCATTGATATCTTCTCGTTTCAATGACGACGATCCATCACCATTTGGTGTTAATTGTTTCGGAAGAGGAAATGCGTTTGAACCAACAAAAAATATTTGATCAGGCGAAATGGAAGCTGATGACCCATTAGAAGTAAAAGATCTTGGTGATATTTGAGTTGCGATTGGTGTCACTGGTAATGATTTTGTTGAGGAGTCAAAGGTTGAAGGTAAATTTAAAGGAGCTAGTTGTGAATATCGGTTGTTTTTAAAATTAGATGATTCAGAATTAGATGGTACCATCTCTATTTCTAATGAGAAAGAGAAATCTAAAGATAAAAAAAAAATAGAGAATTTCGACGCATTAAGTTCTTCAGAATATAAAGAATTTATAAATGTAAAGTATGAAATGTTTAAGATCAACTTCTTCAAAAGGAAGACGAAACATGTTTTTGTGTTTGTTGTTAGATAATAGTTGTTTTAAAAATACGAAAAGTGTGCGTAAAAAAGATAACGAAGAAAAACAAAAGTTTTTCAAATATAAATTCTTCAAGATCGAATAACAACCAAATAATAAATAGATGGCGGTATTCAATAATTAAAATTAGACTTTTCTAGTAAGTTAGATATAGTATATTGATTTTATTGTCTTCGTTTAAAGATTACACTAATTCTCTTTCAACAAGTCTTCTGTCTGCATACTTTGAGAGTTAATACACTTGACTTTCAGTAGGTATGCGATATTTCACAGCTGAATGATTCAGAAGAGTTGAATCAAACCATTGGTGACCAGCTCTTTTTACATGAGCGATTTCTTCTATGCAAATGGAGTTATTCAGTACCTCTTCATTTATTCTATCCAAATGATATCGTGAGAGCTTTGTTTTAGGTCGCGTAGTCTGAATTGCACATGTCAGGTGAAAAAGACTTGTCACAAATCTATCGGCAAGGATAATGTTAGGTTTTCGCATATTTCAGCTTATAAGGTATCCTTTCTTTTTTGATTTTGTGCCTGAAAGACGATCTAACAAGACTGTTGAATTATAGAGGTAGGAGTTTGGACTTACCTTTGCCTTTCACAGACGTCATAGACAACTTGACAACGATCTCTTTTTTCCATCACGGGCATTTACTTAAGTAGTACCGCTCTCTTCTCATAAATCATAACATACATATACTCGTGAGATCGAACTCTACAGCGGTATTAGTATGTAACACAATTAACTTTGCGATAGTTATCTTTTGGCCTTCTTCAATACTGACTGTAGTATATATTACGATTATCATCGACATGTACTAAAAATGTTTAGTAATTCATAAACAAAAATATGTGTTGCTGAATTCAATCTTGTAGAATATGAGCAGCTATGTAATGTGTCATATTTTTAGTTTGCCGACATTACGCTATTAGATTTGTAGATCAGTGAACTTTTCGGGCACAATACTACTGTGAAGTCGTTTGGTTAGTTACGAACTTAATTAAACATATTTTTGGGAGAAGTTTTTTCAAGTTGTTCTAGTAGAATGGAATTTTTTGAATGACTAGACTAACAGAAGATAAATGTGTTTTGAGGAATAAAATCTTTATACAGTTTTCAACAGTCTAGCTTGTTCCACCATGCAATAATTTGGTTATTAATGCTGACACCACCAATGATCGTAGCCACCTATTTGAAAAGTTATCGGAACTTTCAAAGATTCCTATAAATCAGATACTAGAATAAATAAGCTAGCATACAATCAAGAATGATCAAATGATAATTTCGAGCTTGAGTATGTATTCTTTACGAGTAAACTCATTACGAAAACTAACTAAAGGTCCGTTTCAACAGACAAACATCGTTTATTATTGACTACATTCGTATGTTAAGAGGTACACACCTCAGTATCTATGCGTCTTGATGCTAGAAATGATAAGACCTTTTGTTTTGTCGTCACTTATCTTTAAAAACAAAGAAAACAGTAATGAAAAATACAGGGTGGCGCAAAAACACTTTATCGAAAAAGAAATTGAATATCTTCATTACGGCTCGAGCAAACGAGCTGATTTTTTTTATCACTGATAGAGAAATGTTCAAGCTTGATATCCATAAAGACATGCCTAGATAGACCCTTTGTTAAGTATATTGTTTTTTTCCTGTCTGTGAAAAAGTAAATTTTTTTTGTTGCGATCACTGGTGATACTTAACAAAGGGTCTGCCTAGACATGTCTTTATGGATATAAAGCTTGAATATTTCTCTATCATTGATAAAAAAATCAGCTCGTTTGTTCGAGCCGTAATGAAGATATTCAATTTTTTTCTGGTAAAGTGACTTTTGCGCCACCCTGTATATCTTCTACGAGTCATATAAAAGAGTTTAGAAAGACGACATTGAAATCATTAATCAATGGAATTTCACTTGATTTATTCGAAGTTCTTCGACAGTGTTCAACTTCTCTCTGCTTTTCAAGACTTAAATCACACTTTGATAATCTTCTTATAATTCATTCATAATCTAATTCTCTTGATGGAATGTGAGTGAGGATTTATCGTCTGTCCTCACTCAACTACTCTTGATATTTCTCCAGGATACTTTAAGAACAACATGTCATAAGATGCATTGTCCTAGCACTCGTATTAGAAGTGAAAGAATTTCAGCATCAAATTTTCTTTCTGCTTTTAAAGTTTATTCAGTACTATATTAAATCATGCTAGATGTCAGATGAGAAATTCAAAGAGATGGTTCTTTTCAATGAGTTTCATATTTATGTGACTTTCAGTTATTTGAATTTTATCTATGTGGATATATTTTAAGACAATGTTTACTAAAGATCTTCTTATAAGAACAATAAGAATTGATAACGAAAGTATATATGACCTAAAACAACATTCTATGCAATAACCTTTTTCAAAATATTTCAAAACTATGAACTTATATGTTTCAATACAATGTGCTCATTTCCAACAGTAAATGCAAATGAAATTATATGAAAACAAAAGCTTCACAAAATATAGAATATAAGTATAGAATGTTTACAGATATCACTAGTATTAATTCAAAAGTTATTCCCATTGATTTTATTTGTTTATTTATTCGTAAACAAATGTGTATTTTTTTCTGAATTTAACAAATCAGTAACAGCATTTTGTCCAAGTATATAAGCTAATTTTAATGCATCTTCTTTGGCATATAATGCCGTACATGTACTTGGTTCATCGGTTTGATTTGTTTGTGTTGTTTTTTTCTTATCAATTACATGTGGTAATGTTAAAAATTGTACAATTTCTGGATAGAAATGTCCATATGATGGTAAATCATAGAATAATATATGTCGTATACCTTTTATACGATAACGATGATAAAAATGAAAACGTTCTGTCATTAATAAAAATCGTACTTGACGATGATAGAATATATTTCTTGCTAATAGAATTTGTTTTTTCGTTGAATATTCACTTAATGTTAAATAATTAAATTGTTTATGTTTTTCTGTACGCATATAATTTTTTAAACGTACAAAATCAAAATATGATGATAAATAAATTAATGTATGATCATATGTTGATGTATCAAAACGTGGTAGAATATGTTCAATAAAATAATTAAATCTTAATGTTGGATCACATACTGGTATACGTTGAAATAATTGATGAAATGTTGATATTGGACGTATATAACCATTTAATGGAAATGATGGTTGAATTAAACATTGTCCAAAATAATTTGTTGAAAAACGATGAAATAAACTAAGAAATAATGGACTTGTAAATGATGATAGAACAATTAATTGACGATAGTAACATGCCCAACCATTTAATGACCAATGACGTATACGAGAAAAATCTGTTGATGATGTTGCTTGTTGTGGAATACAATTGAGATTTTCTAATATATAAAATAGATGATCAAGATTTTGCATTGATAATATATCTAATTGATCAATATAAACACATTCAATTGATGATAAAAAATCAGCTATTGAAGATGAATTATTCTCATTTGTATTTTCATTATCACTATCAGATTCAGAATTGTCCGATGATTGTTTATGTTTACGTTTACGACGACGTTTTTCAAGTAATGTTCGAAGACCAACAGGTGATACGATGAGAAAATCAGATTTGTATACTGATTGAAAAAATTTCAATGATTTACGTGTTACAGATATACCTTAAACAAAAATTTGACAGTATATTATCAATTAGAAAAAAATAATCTCAGACACAGAAAAATTTTCCTCATTTGTCGTAATCCGCACTGGTCAAACATTTTTCTTTGTTTCCAATTGTTCTATCGTTATGTGTGAAACGGCATTTTACAAAGCAAAAAACTCTGAACAAAAGATTTAACTCGAATTTTTCTTCTAGTATTGTTCCGAAAAGCTGTTTTGAAAAATTCTCTTTCTCTTCTTTTTTTAGTCACCACTATAACCATGATGTAATAATTACCTAATCGAAAGTGATCATCAATATTTCCAGCAAATATTTCATTATATTCATTAGATGTTCGTTGAAATTTTCCATCATTAGTTTCATTATCGATTTCTCCACCACCATATTCTTCTTTAAATCTTTTACGATGACTCATTTGTATTTGATCAGTTTTTTCACTATCATCCATAGTTAATAAAAGATTTTCAAAACAATTTATAATACGTCGAACACTTTCACGAAATGGTACAATAATAAGAACTTTAGGTCTTGTAAAACCTTGATCATGATAATCAAGATCAGGATTTTCTTTTAATTTTGCATTATGTGATAATATACGTGAACGTGTTTTTAATACATGATTTATTAAATGTAAACAAATAACAAATCGTAATTGTTCACCAACATCATTTACATTAGTTCGATTTGGATAATAAACATCATAATAATTATGAATTAATGAAAAAAAATCGAATTGTAATGGTGTTAATTGACTACCAGATGCTTCAATATTTGATAAAAGAGATTTTTTTATTGAAAATGAATCAATTGTAGATGTTGGACATGGCAATATAGGTAGTTTATCTGATGATGTTGACGAGAATTGACAAGAACCAAGTGATGATGAAAATAGATCTATTTTAGTTTTAGGTGATTTATTATTGATTTGTGTTTCATCTATTAATGTTTCAAAATGTGAAAGAAATGGATCATCTTTAGTTGTATTTTCCATTAAATAGAACTCTAAAACAAAATAGATTTGTAAAAGTTAATTTTATATATCGGAAAAAAAAACATGTTTATTTTGAAATTATATAGAATAAATGAAAGCAGTGTTTCATGTAGCATGAAGGTCGAAAAGTGGCACATCTCCGAACATCACTTTTGTTT